GCCCTGGGCGGGTGGTAACACCCACATCTGCCCTCAACACCGACGAGCCCTGGGGGAAGGCACAGCGGATTCCAAGGAAGGAGGAGTAAAAAAAAACAGGAAAAGGAAGCGCAAAAACGGGGAATGTACCAAAGAGTGGGAGCATTTTGGTTCAGGAGAAGGAAATAATAAAACACTTAAATTAGTGAAAAATGTAAAAGAATTTTTGTCAGATTGTTTGTTATTGGATTCACATATTATGTAAAGCCTACACTGCGGATTTTTGTATTCAGGATACATTGTTTTACAGACGCTGTATAGGCTGCAACCCGTTGACACCAGTACATATCAAAAATCCTTAATATTGCTATCAATTGTTGGTTTCATCAGCGCAAATGCCTGTGCAAAGATCAAATACATAATATTCTGCAATTATAGATGCCTCAATGAAGTCACAAAAGAAAAATACCTCTGGCATACTGCACTAGACTGGAGGATAATCACGACGCTGTTACAACTGCAGTGTTGTGAGGACGCTAGCAAGGGTGCCGTGACCCCAGTAAAGCCTGACCTCCTCATGGTCCCAGGCGCGCTGAAGTGCTGAGAGTCCAGTCCTGCTTCTCCTTCACAGAACACACAGCTCAGAGTCACAGACATGGCTGTCTGTCTTTGCACATTACAACTGTCAGACGAAGGCCGTTCACTTCCCTGCACAACCTAACACAACGCAATGTTCACAACACTGTTTTACCTCAATAATAACAGTTTATTGTGATATTACTCGATAGAACAAATTAACATAAATGGGCTGATTTGACAAGTAATAAGCAAAACCAAGGAGCCCTCGAGTACAAACATGCTGCTGTTCTGGCAAATCTAACAACGACTGTATAGTCTGCTGTGATCTGCACAACAATGATGGATTGGAGACATTTTGATATGACAATTAACACATGCAACAAGATTAATTAAATAATACACTCTGTAATGTTGCAAATTCAGCACCAGAGTAATATATACAGTCTTTGTTTCTTAGTCAGATTCCTCTCCTCTTCTTGACTGATAGTGATGTAACAACAAAAAGAGTATTGTTTGATAGTTGACAGAACAGAGGCTTTCTCCTGAATTTAATGGTCTAAATCACAGTAATTGAAAGTCTTACGTAGCAGCACCCCAAAAAAACCTCCACGTTCTTCCTTCTTTTGGCTTCAACACATGAATTCCACCCGACAAAAGCTTGAATGTCCTCAGATGGCGAAAAGACACAGAAAGACAGGTGCAATTACTAAAGCAAAGTACAGAAATAATACAATAACTGAAGAATCGAACCCATGTGAGGCAGTTTTGTCTGCACTGGTTACAGACGCTCGAGCGCTCACAGCTCTCTTGTTCAAAACTCCTTTGAAGTGAACTGGCTCCAAATCTGCAAAAAATAATCAAAATAATAAAATATAAACAAGGAGAAGTGGAATGCTTTGAAACTGAAAGCATACTGAATCTTGAAACTTCTATGCAATTTTGACCATGATCTTGTTTAGAATAAAAACAAGGTATGTACGACCTCTCAGCAGGGTCTGCTGTGGTTTGATGCCGATGTTAAAGAAAACCGCTGCGTATGAATCAGACCGTCCTTCTCTCACTCCTGTGGCAGCGCGAGAATGTTTTTTCTGGCGGCAACGGGACATTCACCACCAAACTGTCCCCCTGAAAAAAAAATTAGACCATTTTTGAATTGTTTGCTACACACATTTCTTATATGTGCACACAGCACAGTTTAAAGAGTATTACATCAGATTACAGCTAACATGATTTTACACAACTTATTTATTTCTTCTCACCATGTCCCGGTCAGAGTTGTAGAAGTCCCTCTGATTGGCCGCTTTTCCCTTCAATCCAAACAAATGCAACCTTTTGATTCAGCCACGCCACTCCAGTCCTCGAGCATGCTAGTTCATCTCCTTGTCAAAACATTTTTTATTGATAGTTGAGCAGTAGGCAGCCAGCATAATAGTATAGTAGTAGTAGTATAGTACCAAAGTGCTGAGTAGAACCCTCAGAACTGAGCCAGGATCCCCACAGTGTGAAGCTGTTGCAGGAAGTCGGCGTCCTCTAAACCGTGTAGAGTCAAAACAAAGGTATTGTGACCGCAGTGATCTACAGAAACAAGAACCAACATTAATGTAAGATCACTGTCTAAAGAGAAAAGGTGCCCCCCGAAACTCAGACCTGAAGCAACGTATTAATTGTATCGACTGCTGTCTGTTCTTTGAAGGTAACCATTTTGCCTTCAGCTATTTTGTATAATTTTGGCTTTTAAGCATGTGTTTCATGATGTACTCAAAATGGAAATGTTTGCAAACAAAGGCTGAACTACCATCTAGAAGATGGTTGCTACTAGAATGGAAGCCCCCATCACGACCATTTACCTGTCTCACCACAATTGTGTTTATGCACATTCCTTTGATCACCAACATGCATACACGGTGCTACGAGGGTTTGCTTTATGTTGATTAAGGTTTGTTTAGTTTGGTTCTGTGATTAGTAAGGGAATCCTCACTCTCACTGTATCTTCTGGACTCGCTATTTGTGTATTTTATATAAAAATAATGGTAAAAAAACTTTCACCGCGTGACTGAAACGGGCGTGTCGTCTCCTGGACCAGGGTCCTGAGCAGAGCCCTGTTCCACTGTGTCCGCCGTGCCCCCGGAGGATCACATAGGTCATTGCAGCGCTTTGCTTTGGACACTGCCTCACGCACGGCAGTCACGCCAGCGTCACACAAGAGCGAGCAACCTTTCCTGCCACGACCACCAGCGGATGAAGGAGAGGAGGTTTCGTCTGTGGAAAAAACGTTTCATAAACGATAATGAAAACATGGCTTCATATTAAATGTATATATTCTGTATAATTACAATCTCGAATATAAACCCGTAATATAATGTAATCCTGCACTTTTCTGTTTGCGGCCCCATCATATCATTCTGTGTTCACTATAATACAGTACTTACAACTGACCATAACAAGTTCTGGCTATTTTATGTGATGTGTGTAACAAAGTCAGTGTGCACAAACTGCTGCGTTGTGAGGGCTTGTGTCCGGGGAGCTGCTGGTTTTGACTCTGCTGTTTTGCTTTTTCAGCCGATCGACCACGCAATTGATTGCAGTTTCAGCTTTTAACCAACGTTTCGCCCACACCGTGGTCCTGCACAAAATCAACAAGACCCCCATTATAAAAGAGAGTTCCTGATGTTTGATTTTATAGGACGATTACTTGTTTATACTGGCTTTTCACAGTTCAAAGTGTCCATAGTGACTTACGGTGATAAACATTATACCAACATTAAGGGTCCGTGGTACCTAATGCATTTTTATTTTTGAAGGAAAAAAGGAAAATCAAAAAAAGCTATTTTGCAGTTTCAGGCACACAGCAGATAACAAAAATTACCATTTTTGTGTTGTTGTTGTTGCTTATATACAATATATAATACTATATATATATATAGATATATATTATAATAACCAGGATTTGGGAACTAAAAAATGCAATAAATTAACCTTTTTAATGTGTATTTAAACTTTTCGGCGTCATCGATTACCCAAGTGAAACAATTTGTTTACTTCAGCTATTCGCTGTAATTTAGTATACATTTTAATACAAAAATAGACCTCCTGTAGTTGTCCACAACACAAACATTCTGAGAAAACTAATCCCAGGAAATCCTGCATGTCCAGTGATTGGGATCGCGATTGCCCCTTCAGCTTTATAATTTCTGCTTTGTTTTGTGTCATGAGCAGAGGAATGAACACCTGCAGAGTCGCGGATCGCTGCAGTCTCTGTGAGGTCCATGGAGAATACAGAGGACAGTGTAATGTGTTCACTGACACTAAATAATATAAACATTATAGACAATAATCGGGCCTGAGAACTGTAGAAGCGTAAAATGTTTGTCCTCCATGGTCTTTTGCGCAGCTGTGTCCATAGACTGTATAACTTTGTCAGACCGACTCAACTGGACTGCTGAGCGAGAGACACCCGCGCACGTCCCCGCCGTTATGTCAGATTCAGTGAAAAATAGTATTTTATCCAGATATTGCTTATCCGGGTGTGAATGCACTGCAATATATCAAAGTCCTCAACATTGAGTCCTCACGTGATTTACCGAAATTATCAGGGGTCCACAAGGTATACTGATTCCCGTGCGAGCAATCAAACTTGTTTCACTCCGGTAATACATGTGACCCGAAATAACAATTTAAAAAGAGGTTAATAATTGCATTTTCACAATCCCAAACCCGGTTGATAAATATATTTTATATAGGTCTTATAAGCAATGAAAAAATACAAAATACCTTTTTTTCAATTTTCCATTTCCCTTTCATAAATAGAAAATGTGTAGTATCAAGCGGACCCTTAATTTGGTATAATGTTTATCAACTAAGTCACTTAACACTTTGAACTGTGAAAAGCCCAGTATAAACAAAGAAATATTTTCGTCCTATAAAAAACAAACATCAGGTTCTCCTCTTTTTATATAATGGGGGTCTTGTTGATTTGTGCAGGACACGGTGTGGCGAACTTGGTAAAAGCCGAACTGCATCATTGCGATGTCGATCCGGCGGAAGCAAAACGCAAGTCCAAACCATCAGCTCCCCCGGACACAACCCTCACAACAGCAGCAGTATGTGCACACTGGACTTAGTTACATCCACATCACAAACAAGACCATAACTTGTTATGGTGCAGTTGTAGATACTGTATTAATAGTGTACACAGAAGATATGTTGGGGCCGCAACAGAAATGTGCAGATTACATTATATTACGGGGTTATATCGAGATTGTAATATACAGAATATATTACAATATATAATGAGCTTGTTTTATTAACGTTTATGTAAACGTTTTTTCCACAGACGAACCCTCCTATCCTTCATCGCTTGGTGTCGTGGCTGAACAGTTGCTCCCTCTTGTTGTGACGCTGCGTGACTGCGTGCGTGAGCGGTCCAAACAAACGCGTATGCAATGACCTATGGTGCCTCGGGGCAGCGCGACACAGTGGAACAGGGCTCTGAACCCTGGTCCAAGAAGACACGCGCCGTCCTTCAGTCAAGCGTGAAATTTTTTAAACTCCACTTTGAGTTCGGGTGGGGGGGGGGGGGGGGGGGGGGGGGGGGGGGAGGGGGGGGGGGGGGGGGGGGGGGGGGGGGTATCGAGATTCAAAGGCAGTACCACCCAGCGTTCATAACGCCAATGGCACGGCTATGAATTCGGAGATCCCGAACATGTTAAAAAACGGGAAATGTGAGCTGGGCCATCACAAAGATTCCATAGGTCACGAATACCTATAGTATACTGCGTCCTATGTCACATACTGCTCGAAGAATGGCAAGATATCTAGCGACACCAACAATCACAGGCCTCCAAACGATCCTCCCCAACTTAATCTTAAGTAGCTATCTGAAGTCTGCCAGCTTGAAAAATTCATCAAGAGCACTATTGCTTACCTTATATGGCGCACATAGTCCACTCGAATCAGGATATAAAACCAGATCCTGCTTCCACCAAAAATACCCCATATCTCCAAAACAGTCCTCTTTCAAAAATCAAATCTCGTTCCAACTAAAAGATAACATCTTCAATCAAAGACGTAGTATTCCACACCAAGAACGAAAGATGTGCTTAACGTGAATACGCATAACGAACTCACAATAACCTAACAACAGTGGAATGAACTGGCTTGCACCAAATTGAGGGATCAGTCCACCCAATACCAGGGGCAAAGCAGATCAAAGCTAACTTCTATCGGCAGAGCCTAGATACTGTAGTATGTAATAAACAAGCTACAATACTGCTCGAGCCAAACACTACACCTGAAGAGACATAAACGCATCACTCTCACCCACACTGCTACTCCTAATAGTATCCTCACAACAATACTAAGGATACATCTGCAGCAAAATGATCACAAAACAATAATCTTAAGCCCAATTCTTGATGACAGATCAATCAACAACCTAATACTCTAAATCACATAAAGTATAGTACCTCTACTTTTTATAGGCCCATCTTCATAAAAACCCAAATCTAACTATACCATGGCCTAACACCCACACACTCCAAGAAAATCCTATGTAAATAACTTAATCGCGACATACGTTACGTCAAAAAAGCTATCCTCTCACTTCACACCGTTAAACGAATGTAGACCTATAACTCAAATATTTTCTCTAACAACCTCCTGACCGATCTCGATCCATAAACTTAGGCAACCCTCAGCGCAGACAAATAGACTACCGCTACACCTGAAAAACAACCAGACATGCAACCTAAAGCTAATAGCGGCCAGATCATGCTTCATTACATGCGCAGCGCACTAATAAGTTGGGGGGGGGGGGGGGGGGTTGTAATATATACACAATATATACAACCATTTATATTGAGAAAGAATTTAATTCTACATCAACGCACGTCTATATCATCTAGACAATGCCATCAATATCCAATAATCTCACCTCACGACTAGTGCAACCTCAACAAGTTCATACACACGAGATTAATGATAAGAACGGTCACCCATATATTAAAAGCAACATTCTCCAACGCACCCACCATAGCGTGCCTCACTAGCACTAATCACTTTTGCCATATAGACTACAGAACAAACAGCCTAAGCATCAGAATGCAATATTCCAGACGACCCAAAAAGTTCAACCTGCCCTCTGTGTACAACCCTTTTACATCACCACTGCCAATAGCGAACAACCATCGAAACTTGTACCAACACACATTCAGACCGGCATCCCATCAAAACTACAAGAATAGACACCTTCTAGAGACTAGCCCAACCGGCATAAAGTCTTTACTCCAACAAACTAGTCTTAACCATTTGCTACCACTCAGGCAATAATACCAGCAGCCACCATCACAAAATGACAAGCCTTCAGTTCATGATAAGCGCAGCTTTACTCCCAAACAACATTCATGCCGTCGCCCACTAAATAGAGAAACCAAAAGTACGCATCCAGCGCTCTACGCTCAAGATAACTAACACTAGACAGAACGAACCTACCATTCTCATCAACCAATAAAAAGCCTTCCCATAAAAGATCTCTCGAATCTAACTCCATCAATAATCACTGCAACAGTCAAAGCACCCGCAAAACATTCACACCAAAATCCTCAACATAAAAAGCAACAAGAACGGAAAACCCGAATAGACAAGTCTACTCTAGATCCAAGTTCTACCATATAATCCGATCGCATGAACGTAAATTACTAATCATCTCGCTTAAACTAAAAAACCTAGTCAATCTCGCGCATTCCTCAGTGTTAAAACCACCAATTCCTGACAGTTTGTCTACCCCACGCAAAGCTAGCTTCAGTTCATCGGGGCGTAGGCCACGGTACACTAACCAAAATATATATATCGTTAAACAAAAGATCTCCGTAATGCTTAACACAAGCTGAAATAAAATATACCCTATTATGTATTAAAAGCAAAGAAATTGAACGCCTTTATGCATCTGCCAAATGTTATTCCACTAAGTGAGCGACCAATAACCCCCGCTAATCACAACAATGGGCGCCATACAATCGAAATCACGCGTCGTCTACCTCTCACCACCAATACTCAGAAAGAGACGATCCAGTTACTTTCTCCATCAACAACTCACCTAAGAAACTAGCCAGGACATCCTAGAGCCACAAGCAGAAACCGAATAACAACACTCCCAAACAACCATTCTGCGTCACACCGATAAGACCTTAACATCCTCGATGATCACCAAATATCCATTGTCTTATATAATGTACAGGCCAAACTTCGAGTGTGCAACCCGAAGGAACCTTACACCAGCGGGATCAGCGGAGAATGAGTAACCCTAAACTGAGAGCATGACTCGACTCCATACTCGTTTCAACACCTTTACAGAAAACAAATCATGCCCAAGACCATAATGCCCTAAGCTGAGACGATACTTACACAACTGAACCGTCCAACATAAACACATAATCATCAGAAAGCTAATGTCAAGAAACGCCACCTAAACCTCTAAATCAAAAGAATACCGTACGCAACCATCACAAATCCTACGACAACCTAAGGCCGACACTCTCAGTAAGCAACCAACGCTGGAGCATGATACAATATCCACATTGTCACATCCGAGCTGCAAACATGTGCAACTACATCCTGTAAAATTCAAAGCAATCATTCATGTCCGTCTCTTGTACATCCCTCGTAGAATATGGAAGATCGAGACTCGCTTTTTAATTGACAAAACACAACTCTACGTAGAATGTCTGCTAACTCTTGTATACGACACACAGGTATATTTGGTTTGTGTTGTGGAATTGTTCCAGGGGGGGGGGGGGGGGGGGGGGGGGGGGTTATAATTATAAATAAAATATTTAAATAAAAAATAATATTTAGATAATGTATAGATTATAAAAAAATTATAATATTAAAAAAAAATATTAATAGTTTTATATATCATAGTAGGATGGAATGGTTGGTAGTGATATATATAGTTTATATTATGTATTTATAAGTTTAGAGGATTATTTAAGATGTGAATTGTTATATTATAGTGATAAATTTTAATAAAGGAAAAATATGATGTTTGATGGGGGAGGGGTTTAGTAATGATGAATATTATAATATGATAAATTTATTATATCATGATTAATTTTATGATGTATTTTAGATCTTTATGATATAATTGGGGATGTGTAGGGAATATTATGATAGATAATAGTATGAAAAATGTTGGATTGTTTAGAGAGGAAAATGTAATGAAAGAAAAATAATAGTAGGGTGATTTAATTAAAGTGGGAATTTTAGGAAAATATTGGTGAGATATGGGATAGATGAAGATATAGGAAAGGTTGGGGTGGGTTTGGGTTTGTTTTTTTAGATATTGATTTTGTAGTAGGTAGGATTTTATTAGTTTGTGGTTTGAGGTGTTGTGTGTGTGTTTGTTGGGGGTTGGTGTGTTGTTGGTGTGTGTGTTTGGGGGTGTTGTTGGTGTGTTGTGGGGGTGTGTGGGTTTGTGTGGGGTGGTGTTGGGTGTGGGTGTGTGTGTAATGTTTTGGTGGTGTGTTGTGTTGGTGGATGTTGTGTTGGTGGTGTGGGGTGTGTGGTGTGTGGTAGGTGGTGTTGTGGGGTGTAGGTGGTAGGGGGGGTTGTGGGTGGTGGTTTGGTTGGGTGTAGTGTGTGGGTGTTGTGTGTGTTGTTGGTGGTAGGTGAGTGGTGTTGGGGGGTGGGTGGTGTTGGGGGGTGGTGTTTGGGTGTGTGTTGTGGTGTGTTGGGGTGGGGTGGTGTTGTGTTGGGGAGATTGTTGGGGGTGTGTTTGTTGGTGTTGTGGTTTGTTTGGTGTGGGGGTTGGTGTTTGTGTGTGGTGTGTTGGTTGGGGGGGTGAATTGTGTAAGAAGATAAAGGTATAGTTGGTTGAGTGTGGGGGTTGTGTTGGTGGGTAGGGTGTTGTGTGTTGGTGGGGTGTTGTGGGGTGGGGTGGTGGGGGGGTTGTGGGTGTGGGGTGGGTGTTGTTGGTGTGGGTGGGGGTGGGGGTGGTGTGTGGGGTGGGTTGGTGGTGGGGGTGGTTGTGTGGGTGTGTTGGGGTGGTTGGGTGGTGGTGGGGGTGGGTGTTGGTGGGTGTTGTGGTTGGTGGTGTTGGTGGTGGTGTGGTTGTGGGGGGTGTGGTTGTTGGGGTGGGTGTTGTGTGGGGGTGTGGGGTGTTGGGGTGGTGTGGGTGGTGGTGTTGGGGTGGGGTGTGGTGGTGGGTGGGGTTGGGGTGGTTGGGGTGGTGGGGTGTTGTGTTGGTGGTGGGTTGGTGTGTGGTGTGGGTGGTGGTGGGTGGGTTGTGGTGGTGGGTTGTTGGGTGTGGTGGTGTGGGTGGGGGTGTGGTGTGGGGTGTGTGGGTGTGGGTGTGGTGGGGTGTGGTGTTGGGTGGTTGGTGTTGTGGTGGTGGGGTTGTTGTGGGTGGGTTGGTGTTTTGGGGGGGGTGGGGTGGGGGTGGGGGGGGGGTTGGTGGGGGTGGGTGGGTGGTTGGGGTGGGGGGTGGAGGGGGTGGTTGGGGGGGGGGGTGGGGGTGGGGGGGGGGGGGGGTTTTGTTGGTGTTTGGTGGGTTGGTGGTTGTGTGTTGTTGTTGTGTGTGTTTTTTTGTGTTGTTTGTGTTTGGTTGTTTGGTTAAATAGTATTTTTGTTGTAGAGATTTGGGAATTTTGGGGATAGGTTGAGGTTGGGGGGGTTTGGAAGTGAGTAGAAGGGTGGGATGAGAAGGGGAGAATTGTATGATGGGGGGGGGATGGTTTTAGTAGATTTGGAGGTTTTATTAAGGGAAATTTTGGTTTTTAGGATTTGGTATTTTGGTATAATAAGTGGTTATGGGATGGGAGTGTGGGATTGGAATGGGAGGTGAGGGTCATGAAGACAAGACCAGAAAATTCTGAAAATTTCCGTTGCACGTGTGTGAAGAATGTATATGTATAAGTATTCTCCGATTAACATTTAAGTGTGTTGATTGAGCGTGGCTAGCTCCGGAGTGGCCGGAACTACTTGCGGAGTTATCCACGCATTTGAAATACAAGCAGAGAGAGCGTTGCCATGGGCAGCGGTCATTATTGTTTTGAGAGGTCCGTTATAGAAAATAATGACCGGTAGAACGTTTTGAAATTACATTCAAATCAATGGAGCATTCTACTGCTGCTGTGAGGAGCCGTATAATAAAACAATACAACGCTTACTGTCATGTTACTATACGCAGTTAGCATGTAGTCTTTAGCATTAACTTTTCAACAAACAGTTATTATCTAAAAAAGTAAAACTTCATACATTACTTTCTTTTAGGACTGTACTCAAATCTGGAAAATTTGAGTCTTCCTGAAAATGTGACGCAGGCTTTGTTTCTGACAATGTTCAAATCCAGGTTAAAACAGTTATTTTTAGTTGCATACAACTAAGGAATTTTATCTTCGCTCTTTTTAATGTACTGTGATTTCTTATCTCATTCGATGTCTTTCTTTTTGTATGCTCATCAGACTATGCAGGTCAAATGGGACAAATGTGTGTCAGAACTACAGTATTTCAGATTTTTAATGGTGTGAGACAGGGAAGTCTGTTGTCCCCTGTGCTCTTTAATTTCTATATGTATGACCTGTCCAGGCAGCTGAATAAGTGCAAAACTGGCTGTATGGTTGGTGGTGCTTTAATTAAACACTTAATGTATGCGGACGACCTGGTGGTGTTTAGCCCAAGTTCAGCCAGTCTCCAGCAGTTGTTAAATGTTTGCTCTGAGTTTGGGGAACTTCAGGATGTAAAATACAACTCCACTAAAAGTGTAATCACAATCTGCCGAACTAAGGAAGACAGATCACTGAATTTTCCTGACTTTATGCTCTCAGGGAACATCTTGACTGTGTGTGATGCGGTCAAGTACCTCGGTCACATCATAACTGACCGTTTGACCGAGGACGAAGACATGTATTGTCAGTGCCGGATGTTATATGCACAAGCGAACACCCTGTCTCGGAAATTCTCCTCCTGCTCTGTACAGGGGAAATTAGCTCTGTTTCGAGCTTACTGCTCACCTCTGTATACAGCAAATTTGTGGGTCAATTACAAAAAGTCCAGCTTTCAAAAACTTACAGTTGCTTACAATGATGCGCTGAGAATTTTATTTAAAAAGCCCCGATGGACAAGAGCCAGTGAACTCTTTGTGTCACATAGATTAAACACTTTGCAAGCTGTCTTGAGAAATTTGATGTTTAAGTTTATTTATTATACGGCTCCTCACAGCAGCAGTAAGTAAGTAAGTAAGCTTTATTTATATACCGCCTTTCACAGACCAGAGTCACAAAGCGGTTTACAATTGTTATTTTTTGGGCACTTGTCCTCTCACTCCTCACAGAGATGGGAGCGGGGTCGCCGAACAGGAGGCGCATGCCAGACCTATTGTACATATTTTTAGTGGTAGGGGAAACCGGAGTACCCGGAGGAAACCTACGCAGGCATGGGGAGAACATGCAAACTCCACTCAGAAAGGCCCTGGTCCGGCCGGGATTCGAACCCAGGACCTTCTTGCTGAGTAAAATGCTCCATCGATTTGAATGTAATTTCAAAACGTTCTACCGGTCATTATTTTCTATAACGGACCTCTCAAAACAATAATGACCGCTGCCCATGGCAACGCACTCTCTGCTTGTATTTCAAATGCGTGGATAACTCCGCAAGTAGTTCCGGCCACTCCTGAGCTAGCCACGCTCAATCAACGCACTCTTATGATAATAGGAGAATACTTATACATATACATTCTTCACACACGTGCACGGAAATTTTCAGAATTTTCTGGTCTTGTCTTTATGACAAAAATGCTATTTCTCTGCGTCAAAAAGCGATCGTGAAAAACCCGGAAGTAGTTCCGGCCGCTCAACAAACGCAAATGCCAATCAATCAACGCAATGAAATGTTAATCGGAGAGTAATTTATACATATCCAGTCTTAATACAAGTGCACGGAAGTTTTCAGAATTTTCCGTTTACGTTTTTATGACAAAAACACTGATGTAATGCGAGAAAAGGCGATCCCGAAAAACCCGGAAGTAGATACCGGCACATTTTAAGGGTGTATTCAGACCTGCACATTTGCTCCACTTTAAACGAACCAGGATTCGTTTGGAACTCTGATCCGAATCTTTTATGCAGGTCTGAATACACACAAACGAATCCTGGTCCGGACCAAAGACAGAAACTGAGGAATTAGCCACGCAGCGGCTAACTATGCTGCTAACTATGCTGCTAACTATGCTGCTAACGCTACACAACAACACTGAGCTGTGTGCAGACCTGGAGCAGTGAGGAGACGCTGTGCAACAGGCTTATGGAGTTAAAACTGTTCACAGTATACAGTGATGTTAATGGCAGCATCTTCAAATCATTTGCATTATTAAAAGCCTGACACTGTTTGACTCACGTCTCAAAGAGCAATATTCCGCATCATGTAGTGAATTGTGTTCTTTGGTTCCTACCTGATCCTCAGCGTCTGTTTGTCCCGTGGTTATTATAGATCCATGGTTTATCCACAATGCTGAGCAGGGCCGTTATTATCATAGATCCATGTGTGGGACAGGGCACGGAGCGCAGAGTCTCCTTCGGCTTTCTCCTCACGCATTCTCCGACACTGTTCCAATATTTAAAACAACGTGTTTGGCCTGTGTCATATGAGCTGCTGCTGTTGATGTTGAAGGTGGTTTTGCTCTAAAAAGAGCAAACATAGGCAGAGCAGACATGCTGCACATACGAGCCCTCAATGTTTTCTGCCGGTTCCGCATCTATCCTCCGTGAGCTCTCGCTGTCCAATAGGAGTCGATCGTCACACGTGTCGATATGTTTATATAAAAAAGTTCACTTGCAAAAAGGACAGTCTGAATACGAACCGGAGCAAAAGAAAAAAGTTTGGTCTGCTTTTGATTCGGATCAAGCAAGCGGAGCAAAGGACTTTTCAGGTCTGAATACACCCTTAGATACCGGCACATTTTTGGACACATTTGCAGAGGACGGAATTATGGATTTAGGTTAGGTTTATGTATGGGTCACTCACCGCTAATGTTCAGAATGCTTTGTTCAGTTTTCATGCAGTTCCAGAGAGTTTTAGTTTGGAAGTTGCTAGCCTAACTGTTGCTAGAATAGCCACGGGAAAACCTTTGGGAACTATTTTATTTTCTGTCATTAAAGAAACCTTTCGGCATTCCTAAAAGTGGACTGAAGTTTATGTTGTGTGTTCTGTTGGTATAAAGCCGTATAATAAGCGGGATAACGTATATTACGCAGGTCATTATCGGAAAATAAGTACCTTCAGGGCGGAAGGGGTCCGCTTCGCCCTGTCGGTACTTATTTTCCGATAATGACCTGCGTAATATATCCCTTGTCGCCTGAACATTTCAAAAAATGGTGATTATTTTATTGTCCAGTGTTGTGGGCAGCGGTACGTTACTCGTCGCTGCTTTGGAAACATTGGTATGACTGCCTCTTGAAAGTTTAGAGGTTTTTATTGTCTGTTGTTTATTTTTAATTGACACTTGTCTGTGTCTGTGTTGATCTGCACCTTGAGTCTGCAAATAAAGTTATCTATCCGTCTAACTATCTATCTATTTATGATTGTAATGCTTCTATCTTGTTTTGTTCAGCACTTTGTGTTACCTTGTGTATGACTTGTGCTATACAAAGACATTTGCCTTGCCTTCATACTTTCTCTAAGAATTTGGTGAAAAACAAAAACATTTTGATCACAATATAATAATAACTGAACTCAACTAATTGTTTGTTTGTTTATTTATTTCAAGTAAGGAAAAAATAACATACACAGTCTATTTCAATTCACAATCATGTAACTTGAAAAGGGGATGGAGGAAGTTTACGCTTATTTGATTCCACCCCCCACTCACACCACACTACACCAAATACACACACTACAACAATAAACAGAAACACGACACAGGCCCCAAACACTCCAACCATACACCCCTTTGCCCCATACAATACATGATAGACACTATGATAGTACTCAAAAAACAGACAGTTTGTGAAGGTACCATTACAGTAGTAGGAGTCAGTAGGCTGGACTTGACTAACGATTTGACCAGAAAAAAAAAAAAAATGCTGGAATCTGTGTGGAGTGAAGTAGTTTCAGCAGTTCACACTCACCCCCATTACATTCTATGGATCATAGTGTAACAAAATGTTTCCCTTTCTGTTCTCTCTCTCCTTTAGGTGACCGAGACCAGGACGGGCCCTCTTGGATGCAGTAACTATGACAACCTGGATTCTGTCAGCTCCGTTTTGGTCCAGAGCCCTGAAAACAAGATTCATTTGCAAGGTTGGCTATTCGTAATTGAACCCGCACCAATTTCTGATGGAATTCTCACTGCTACGTTTCCCTGGCAAAAGCTCATATGCACCGCGTGAGAATGTCGCAATGAATTAAGCTTCAATCACTCGACTTTTTTAATGCTATTTTTTCCCTTCTTATTGCTACATGGCCAAAGTGAGTGAGATGAGCAAGTATTGAAATCGAGAAAGGAAGAAAATACAAGTTTTGTCTTGTGCATGAAAATGTAAAATGATTTTGTTGTGTCATGCCCCCAGGACCTAAAATATAAGCAAACTGTAGTATTTATTTCTGCTTGTGTTTTTGATTCAGATGATTTTGAATGTAGTGAATGAGTAGTTGCTTTTTAACCCCAGATTTAGCTACAGAAATGTGCTTTGCTATGTTCAACCATAAATGCATTTGATTGATGTGTTTTGGGATTTTTGAGCTGTTTTTCAAGCAGAAATGATCATAATATAATTAAGAGAAAAATATACTGTCTCACACCATGGATCTATTATAATAACTGGATAGGGTATTACTAGCTTGTAGCTGAATAACCCATGTGCTCAGGGGATTCTCGCGGTACTGCAGACTGAACCAGACTAAATTCACGTGGGCTACCCAGACATTTTCCCCATAGAACTCAATGCATATTAAAACAGCTCGACCTCAGCTGACAGGGAACCTACAGCTTTCATAAAGGTCGGATTTTGTGGGGATTTTAGTGTCCCTTGTCATCCTGAACTTTTTTTCTTCTTAAATCCTTCGGTTTTGTTTAAATCCACACTTTAGTGCCACAAACTCTGCTCCTCTGGCTCTCGCTCTAACTCCCGCTCTGATGAACTGCTCTGATTGGTCAGAGCGCGGCCGAGCCTCTCTGTGCACGTGCGTGAGACCCGGTGTGAGACCCACACACGCGTGTTTGGCGCAACGCATTATGGGAGATCATCCACTGCGCAGAACCGGGAGGACCAGACGATGCCCAAATACAGGCGAGTTTCCCATAGATCTTTGCGAGTTTTAGGCAACTTCCGCTAATCTTTCAGCCCCCATGCCGTCACAAAGCGTCACTGAGCACAACCATTCATTTGAATGGGGCGCCATTTTGGATCGCCGGGGCTTGTCTCACACCCACACATGCACACACCCACACAGATACTTTATCTGTAGCCTGTGTTCTGTCGAGTTGGTCTGCCCGTCAAAATGGGTCTTGCGCAAATATAATTTATATATATCACATACTATTGTTGGAAGCCTTACACACTATTTTGCTCGATTAGAGACAGTGTTATTTTCCCGTAATTTTTTCACTTTCAGTTTAGATATATCTATGGCCATATCGAAGCACAGTAAAACTCCTTAGTCACGGAGAGACTTACCCAGAGCTCACTGTAGGTGAGGGTGCGAACGTAGATTGACCGGTAAATCGGATTTAATCTCTGCAAACACCAGAAATTAAATCTTGACGTCTCCAAACCAGACTCCCTCTGGCCTCTGGCTTCACCAAGAAATTCTGTCCATGAAAACGGTGAACAGAACGGGTGACAAAGGCCAGCATTGGCGTGGGCCAAACGGTCTGGGTACAGGTCTGTGTTGCTGCCAATACAAACTCAGCTGAGGACTGCTCTATTTCCACCACTGCATACTAAGTGCATACCATGAATAACCTTACAGTATATTACGTTCTAATTATTCATTCATAACTTGACATTGTGACATTATCACCTTTCACTGCCACAGGGCTCCAGTCGGTGCTGCCAGAGTACCTCCGGGCCAGATTCGTGGAGGCGGCGCTGAGCTACATTGGCTGCAATGAGGAGGGCGCACTGGTGTGCCGGAACAACGACTGCTGGTGTGCGTGTGGACCGGACCACCCACACTGTAACTGCCCCGCGGTCGAGCTCAAAGCCATGGAGACGAGCCTGCTGCAGATCCGGGAGGCCTGGACGCTCGCCAACCACGACTTTGAAGAGTCAGGTGAGCTCTAATGCATGCACCGTTCACACACGTGCATTGATGAGATTACCATGTGAGCTAACAGATCACCTTGGACACCAAACATTCAGTTGTAGCAGCTATGCTTTCTTGTCAAAGAACAAAACATAAATCATGTTTCAGAGGTCTACAACTATCAGAATGCCAAAGGAACATGGTAACTATGATACAACACTATTCTCTCATCAAAAAGCCATCTGCATTTCTTGAGCATCAGCCACAAATTATCCTCACAGATTACTCTGTGTCAAATCTGTTTTTAAGAATGTCAGGCAAAGCTTTGGATCTGGTTTGCCCTCCTGGATATTAACAACACATGCAATAAGATATATTGCAATAGGAGTTGGAATTTCCATTGACTTTAAAAAGTTTAAAATGTGCACATCCGACTTTGACAGTTATGTTAAAGCAGACCCCACACAACTCAGCCAAACTTAGAAAAGGAAAAGACTTGCATACTATAATTTCATAGTGTTTTACAGATTTACAGATGATGAAAATCATTTCAGATTTCTTGTCAAATTGGACCTAGGGGACTGAAATGTAAACAGCATTAGACCGCCTTGAAATGCTGCTCATTTCTCAATGCAATTTTCTTGATTCTCTTTATTAACATGTGTATTTTTTCAAGAAGTTGAAATAGCAACATAAGATCTTAGGTTCTTAAAACCTTTGATGTTCAGGGCCAAAATAATCATGCGGCTTCACCATAAGTAAATACAATTATTCAATTAATGTGCAATAATAATGTTAAGAAATAATATTATTATGCACATAAAATGATAACATTTTTCATCAGCTATTCATCCATCCATCCATTATCTTCCCCTTAATCCATACATGGGTCGGGGGGGGTGGCAGTCAGAGCTGCACCCAATTCACAGAGCACCAGCTCTTCACTGATCCTCCTGCATGTGGTGAGTCCACAGGAGGAGAAGGATCTGTCAATGACAGCATAGCCTTGATCTAAGTATTTTGCCCAAGGACACAACAATAGGATTGAACCCATGACCTTCAGGATCCAAGGCCAATACCCTACAAACTGAGCTATCATCAAGGTAAATTTGACTTGTCTCAGGTTTGCTGATCCTCAATACCAGGGTCACATTAGGTTACTTTCTTCCGTCTTCCTATGGTGGGATGTATACACCCATGTTGACCAGATCTACCTCAAGAAATAAACCAGGAATATAAAAGTTGACTTCATAATTTGAATTTCCTAATGTAAATGCAAGAGCCACTTCCTGTCTGTCAGAGGCTCAGAACCACAGCAGACTTATTACGGCACTGTACGAGTCATTTATTACTGGCTTTATTTGTTAACCTCACCGTTTTATGAGGTTGCTGCAAATCCCCTGATAATTGTGTTCTGACCCACATTAAAATGACCGTTATGGCTCATTTAGAAAAGGCCAAAAAACCTGCAAGTCCCCAAGCTTCTGCTAGACTCAAAATATTGGTGTTTATGCTTGGAGTTAAGAATATGTACTGCAGTAAGATTTCAGGAAAAAAGCATTGCCTACACACAAACTGACTTGAAAGCATTTTTGATTGATTCCTCATAAATGACATTCAGAGATTTCAGAACCAAAAACTGTTTCTCTGAAGTCGCAGTTGTACTTTTTTGGCACACAGAGATAACAATGGTTTAATTGCTTTAATTGCAGCTTGTACCTGCTCTATTCATCCCGATGAGGGTTCTTCATTTCTTCGCTCATGTTCTTACTATTGTTATTACGGGAAAACATAATTAAGACCTTTATTTATTCAACAGATCATTTTAAGGACTACAAGATTAACTTTAGCTTCTATATGAAAATCTACTTAAAAAAGGCTGTGTCGTCACTGACAGATCAGCCATCCTCCTGTGGACTCACCACCTGCAGGAGGATCAGTGAGGGGCTGGTGCTCTGTGGATTGAGTGCAGCTCTGACTGCCACCCCCCGAACATGGATGGATGGTTTCTTGAGGTGGCGGCCATCTCCAGTGGTGATGGCAATATGAAGCCCCATGAAGCATTGAGGGTTTGCAGCCTATTACTCGGCCCATGGTTCGAAGGCTCGAGGTGATTCATGCTCCACTACGCCATCATGTGGACAAAAAATATAACGCTTTTAAGTGCTTACAATGAATGGTGGGGTCTATTATTAATATTTACAGTCTATGGTCTAAACATGTTGTGTTTGAAATTATGCTCCATGAACTATGAACTATTTAAAGGAATAGTTCACCGTTTTTACATACTGACATATGTTCTTACCTTACCTTAGACTAGTTAATACGTACCTGTCTGGTCTTAGTCCGTGTGCTCTGTCATGCAAACGGAGCAAAAACGGGAGCACAAATGCAGCCTCCTCTGTATATTTTGTAGCACCAAAAGGTAGCTCCCGCTAGAAGCTACCAAACTCTTCCAAGTGTTCCCTATTAAATGTATATAGTTACGTGACGTGTTACACTGCAAAGTATAGTAACACAGAAATGTAACAGTCGATTTTCTCAGCGGATAAAACGGGTACTATATTGTGAGGCGTAGTAATCTGAGGAGCGCTACGTCCGCGCACTAACTTCTCTCCGTACTACAAGTCACGCTGCTTCTATTGACGGAAGTGAGCGAGAGAGAAGTCTCCGGAGAGAAGTTAGTGCGCGGACGTAGCGCACCTCAGATTACTACGCCTCACAATATAGTACCCGTTTTATCCGCTGAGAAAATCGACTGTTACAATTCTGTGTTACTATACTTTGCAGTGTAACACGTCACGTAACTATATACATTTAATAGGGAACACTAGGAACACTTGGTCTCCCCGTCACCAATAATGTCCGTGTCTGCTACACTGGACACCGGCGTGTCTTCCTCCTCTGAATCTGAGTGAGCCAGTACCAGACCAAGTACTTCTCTGGTACTGAAGACATCGTGAGTAAAAATAAAAAACACTCTCTCCCTCTGCTCTGCTCTCGCTCCTCTCAGCTCTACTGCTGCTGTTTTGCCTCCGCTCCGCCGCAGGTGTTTTACGAACTCAATTTACTCAAACTTCAATATAACCACACCCACAAATGCTGCTCATATTAAAGGCACACATGTCCACTAACCCCTGGTGAAAAGTATTAACAAGATTCTGCACCTCATTTTTAGATACAGCCTATATAAGTGAGCAATGTTGCTTGTTGCAATATTGCGACTTTGGCGCTTACGTGTAAAGAAAACTAACCATCTTAGTTTTGCCCCACTTATGATGTGTAGTTGCAATAGTAATTAAGCCAGACAAATGGATAATCTGGAACAATTTTCTGTCACATCATCACAGAGTTCTTTTACTATTTCTGCGAAGGATGGTTGCATCCAAATTCACCAAACACACCAAAACCCACATAAAACCGTATTTAATTTCATTTTAGCAAACCTGCACAAACATTGTCTAATAAGGTCATATTTTGGGAACAAGACGGAAAACACAGGAGGTGCACGAGCGGCTGATTAAACGTCAGTTCAGTATGGTTATTTATGAGTCTGTGGTTGGATCAGCTCAGTTTGTAGCTGCACAGACACCTCGTGCTACAGTTTCACATGCGTCACTATGGCAGCACAGCCTCGCAGAGAGGTTTTGTTTCAGTGATGTGACAGAATCCACTGACCCCACAGGCTGAAGACAAAACCTAGCAAACAAGAATTGTTACTCCGGCCTCGCCTCCCTGAACTCACGGAGAGCTGAAAAACCCGGGAGAAATCTACACAGACACAGGGAGGACATGTAACCTCCAGACTGAAAGGCCTCACCTGGAGGTGGAATCAAACCCAGGACCTTCTTGCTAACAATGGCAGTCATTCCATAAAATCAATTACATGAGAGATTTCATACAACGCAAACAAAATGTTTCTAAATAACACAATAATAAAAAATGAGCCTCACAAACTCAATCCATTCTTCCTCACATTCACCTTCCTTTTTGGTGGGAATTCCAAAAAGATGCTTTTATCACTGTCCACATAACCAAGCATAAAGATTGCGCCCCCTGTTTTAGCTAAATCCTTCTCCAAAACTGCAAAAGAATGAAATGAGGTGTATCCGACTCCACTTTCTGCCAATCAGTCATGTAATGCGACAAAACATTTGCAATGTCAATGATGCCACTATAAGTTAGGCCTTTTCTACTAGCTACTGTAACAAGAGTTCATTATTTCCATGCAGATCGATTTGCTCTTGCAGTGTGTCTGTATAGTACATGGCTTGGCTCTCAGTGTGGGTGGACCTCGAGACTCCTGATCTCCACAAAGCACAGGTCGAACTTGTGTGGCTGTCTCTTCAACAACAGTCACTGCACCTGATTGCATTGATTTCATTGTCCAGCAACTCCAGTAATTGCTCTCAGCTCCTTCTCACTCCACTGCGCCGGAGCGTGTCAGGAGTTTGCCGTATTTCCAGGGTCTTGTTTTGCTGAAGTCTCTGCTATTTATAGAAAGTCTCACGGTATAACCCGACACAAACCTCCTTTTCATGCTTTTTATTTGAGGTTTATGATTTACCTTATATCAACTTTTCTATTCCTAACCCTTTTTTATTCAAAGAACTCACGATCAGAAAAGGAATGCATTACTTTTTTGAGTTTTGTGCATAGAGCTGTAGACCTGACTGGGTGTCTTGCCTTTGTCAAGTACCTATGTAGCTGTAGGTAGCAAAAATGGTGGTAACTTATTCCATCCAGTAGGGAATTAATGGCATGGTGTGGATTTTATTTTTGTACTTTGGTTTTATTTTTTTGACATTGTTTCTCTGTGGTTTGGTTTTGAGTTTGACTTCCTGTGCTGTTTCCCCTGTCTTGATTGTCTGCCCCGCCCTCATGTGTTTCACCTGTGCCCCTTTCCACATGTTGCTGGTCCATTGTTATGTCAATGTCCTGTTTTGTCATGTCAAGTCCTGTCTTTGTTCCTGGTTCTGTATTCTTGGATTTTGAGTTTAGTTTTCACCTGGACTTTTATTTTAATT